TTTTGTGTGAGTGTGTGTGTGTGTGTGTGTGTGTGTGTGTGTGTGTGTGAGAGAGAGAGAGAGAGAGAGAGAGAGAGAGAGAGAGAGAGAGAGAGAGAGAGAGAGAGAGAGAGAGAGGGGCGGCGAGGTACTGGTGGTTTAATAATCTTATCTACAATCTTTAAAACAACAACGGTCCCACCGTAATGGACGGACGCGGGCCCATCAAAAATCGATTCAGGCCCGCACCGTCCCGGCAGGGGGCCCGAGGGAGGGACAGGCTGGGACCGGCAGTGACAGTTGCCGACACAGGGAAAGGGCAGGGTCGGGCAGAAATATTTTGTGCGCGCGGCACGAACGGACGCGAAGTGTGGCGGTGTATATCTCCATGCTGTAGGGGAAGACTCATCTGATTTTGATCATCATATCCCTGGAAGTAGCGTGAGGCTAGCCTCTCTCTCTCTCTCTCAAACACACACACACACACACACACACTGCGGAGTGGTGTATGATCAAGACGGGGGACGTGTGTGCCAAGGGACGAGGGCATGGAACGAGATGTGCTGCGTGATGGAGGATAGAGGATAGAGGCCGGAGGAGGAGGAAGAAGCATGGCGGTCATGGAGAGAGAGAGAGAGAGAGAGAGAGAGAGAGAGAGAGAGAGAGAGAGAGAGAGAGAGAGAGAGTGTTCTCCATCGATAGGATGAGCAACACACCGGCCAAAAGGTAAGTCTCTAACCCCGCGACGACCGTCACGCTGCTTTCATCGATAGGATGAGCAAATCAAATGAATATTCCGCTAGAACATCGATACTACACGCGCACACGCGAGTGTGTGTGTGTGTGTGTGTGTGTGTGTGTGTGTGTGTGTGTGTGTGTGTGTGTGTGTGTTTTAGATTCTCCCACAACAGCCCAAATTCCACCCAGATGAATAAATTCAGAATCAAAGCAGTCTGTCCTGTTGCAGACAAGGAGAGCATTTGAGATGCCCAATATATTAAAGAAATTTTATAATTAAACAGTTTTTTGGTTGTCCTTTGGGTACCCCTTTCATTGTTCTTGCAGCTCCCCTTTTACTGTGCCTCTTACGCACAAGGCTGCCCACGTTGATTGTGGTTAAGCGGCAGCTGCCCACGTCCCCGTGTGCCTTCACAGCCCACTTGCACGTTATTTCAGGAGGCAGAGTAAAAGGGAAGGTATGCTCCTGTGCATTTCTACAGTCTTTGTGTGCAATCAGACTCGTTTTCTTCTCACGTCACATGCATACAAACAGATGGGAAATCGGGCGCCCACACAAAGTTCAGAGATATTAAGGCCGCAAACACAGTTCAGATGCAGACTCTCTTCAAACTGACTATGGCGCCCAACTGGCGCGCTTCTGCTATGGCACCCAACTGGCGCGCTTCTCTGATGGTGCACTGCTGCTATGGCGCCGAACTGGCGCGCGCCTCCTTCCTATTGACAACGGCGATGGCGCGTGGAATAGCGGGGACCCGCTCTGATACCAATGCAATCAGACTCGTTTTCTTCTCACTTCGGATGCATACAAACAGATGGGAAATCAACACTGGCGCCAGGCGCCCACACAAAATTCAGAGATATTAAGGCCGCGAACACAGTTCAGATGCAAACTCTCTTCAAATTGGCTATGGCGCCTGAGCGCCTACACCTCTCACCACTGACACTGTATTCACACAACTGTTCACATGCATTCCATGCTAGATCTCCCTGGATATCCCATGCACACACACTCTGTATCACACACACATACACACACTCTCACTACCACCTATCACTAGCTATGGCAGCTATGGCCACCGGCTATCACCCCCTACAAGCAGCGATGGCTGCTCTATGTCTTCCTCAGCCCACTTCAACTTCGGGCATCTGCAGACCTCCTCGCACAAGACGCCTGGGCAGCGCTTCCGCATGGCTCACGCAGAAAATGAATGAATGGATCGACGCTGCCTCTTGATTTATACTTCTGTTGGTCGCTGGTCTGCCCCTTTTCCACCGGCCCATGGTGCACACAGTCCCACATGGTAGTTGCTGACT